TATAGAGGTATTTATGGTATATATGTATGTAAATCAATGAATCTATGTATGTATGTATACATATGTGCGTGTGTGGATGTTATATATAGATATATAATTTTATATTTATATATGTGTGTGTGTGTGTGTGTGTGCGTATGTATATATATATATACATATATATGTATACATACGTATAAATATAATATATGTATATATATATGTATATATATATATATATATATATATATATATATAAATATATATATATATAAGTATGTATATATTCCTACAATGCCAACTAATGTGAGAATTGATGCATCGGTTCTCAGGTGAATACAAAATCAAGTTCATGCTGAATGAGAAAGAATATGTGATTCCCGGATGCAGCGATCTGTATTGCCCACTCGAAGAGGCGAAGCAGGTAATCATGATGCACATACGCCACTGTATGTCGCTGGTCGTATACCGATACAGAGCCTACCAACTATGGCAGGCCTCCGAACGGTACAACGCTGTGCAGGAATCGTTCATGACTGCGCCATAACATAGGATGCCTGTATAGTTCAGTACATGCTATTTGCATATCTATTTGTATAGATTTGTGAAGACGTTCCACTCCACTCTAATGCTATTTGTACATAAGATCTAGCTCATGGACGCAATGAAATTTCTGAGGTGAAGCTCTCGATTGCGACTCAATGTGCCTGCATATATCGACGCGAGAATATATATATATCCTTGTTGTAGATTTATATGCAAGTTTAAGCATGTACAGTCGGTATATACATATGCACACATGATACATCCTGAATACGGTGGGGTTTTTTCTATGACCACCAGGCAATTGTTTACACACCTTTACGTTGCTGCAGAATTGACCTATAAGTTTATATAGCGAATGAATCTTCCTGTGTGTGCAAGCTCCCATTTATTGCGTGATGGTCGTATGTTTATTTTCAGAAACATATCAAGCCACTGAAAGTCCCTTGACTTATGATGTATGTATAACCTCCACACTCGCAGATTCTTGGACAACATCTCGACGGCTGTGCGTTTGAGAACATATGCCACAACCCGAAAGCTGATGGGGATGGTGTGAAGATTGAGCTATGACGCTGAATAGTCTCTCTTGTATATCTCATAGCGTGTGCGACTGCGCAAGGTCTACAATTATGTTCGTTATCATTAAAGAGTAGATCCTTCGCAGGCTTGTAACCAAATTTATTACATACTTGTCTGTGAGATTCTCTTTCCGGTTTCAGATTTGGGCCTGCAAAGGGTGTTCTGATTTTAATCTTCACAGCAAGAATGTGTATGCCATGGCTGTAAGAATTTACACATAAAAATCTCGCGTCTGATCACACTCGGCACGTGTGGATGTGATTTCGATACTGTTCTCCTCCGAGTCTGGTACATGAGGTCATTGTGTGGCGTTGTACTTCTTATCATCTGTCTTGAATACACTTTCTTAGCCTCATCGAGCCGCTTGAACATATATTGTATGTCGTATGAATCCGCAATACATGGATGTGCGATATCAATACCCTTCTAGTCCTGGTGGATGAGGCCCTTGTGTGGCGTGGTACGTCATGTCGTCGTTTGAATTCTGAACCCTTCCCTAGCCATTCAATGACGGCTAAAATAACACATTCTATAATTTTGTATGAATCAACTGCCGATATCCTCGGCACTTGTGGGTGTTATCTCAACGTTCGTCTCCATCGCATCGGGACTGTGTGCGGTGCAGTACTTCGTACCGCCTGCAATCGTACCCCTTCTTTCTCAGTCCGTCGAAACCAAGTCAACATGTACATTCTGTGTCGCACGAATCAACTGCAATCCTTATCGACACTTGCGGCTGCAATCTCAATATTCGTCTCCATCGCATCCGGTGTACGAGGTCATTGTGTACTGTGGTCCTTCGTCCAGGCTAGTTGCACATTGTGCATTCTATGCAAAGTCAATCAGGTGCGATCGCTCTCGGCACAAGTATTTGTAACTTTAATACTCGGCTCCTCCGCGTTTGGTGTAATGGGCTTCTCAGTATTGTCGCACTTAGTATGATCACCCTTCTGCAAGACGTCGTCAGTGTCGTCATCGCCAAAAGTCTGAGGCCGTTGTGTAGCGTGATACATCATATCGCCTTCTTTTTGTATGACTACCTCGTCCCTCTGATCAGGAATGATCATGGGTGCGGGATCGGGTTGAGGTGGTAGGTTAGCCGTGGTCAGGATGGAGTTTCTACGCACACGAGGATCATCGGGTAGTGCCAGTAGACCCCCGTCGTCCTGCAGTTTGATCATTACGATTTGGTTGTCAGAACATTATGCTGAAACAAGAGTTGATATTTATAATATATATATATATATATATATATATATATATTCATGTATATATGTATATATATATATATATGTGTGTGTGTGTGTGTGTGTGTGTGTGTGTGTGTGTGTGTGTGTGTGTGTGTGCGTGTGTGTGTACGTAAATATATATATTTATATATTTATATTTATATATATATATATATATATATAAA